AGATAGATAGATAGATAGATAGATAGATAGATAGATAGATAGATAGACAGACAGACATAGATTAACATAGTTGGAAGGGACCTTGTAGATCATCTAGTCCAACCCCCTGCCTGTTCTGACCCAAGCCTTTTTCTAACAAATCAAACACAATCCAAAGGGAAGAGAAACCTTGTAATGCTTTTGCAAAATAATTAGCTGTGATAAGCACAAGCCTTGCCAAACTCTGCGAGACTTGCCAAAAGATAACAGACAAGAAATAAGTTGTAATACAAGAATCTTCAAATACAAACTCAGGATACTGGAACATCCACGAGGCTGGAGTTTCAAAATGTTTTTGCCTTCTGCAAAGAAGGTTAGTTTCACAGCTGGCTTTTATCTTCTTGAAGTAGGGAGCATTACCTTGCAGCCTTACTCCCAAGTCACCCGTGCTGTTGTAGCTGCTCTTTCCTTTGAACAATCCTGCGCACATGCGCACTTGGCACAGGCTCCTCGGGAGCCTCCTCATCGCTGCTGCCAACCCCCACAATCTCTGAAGGCAGTAGTCCACTCCCTAATGGTCCTGGCCCCTCATCTGAGTCCTCGCTCTCCTCAACCGTCCACACCTGTTGCCGGCTAACCACAACAATGGTCTGGGAGGAGTTAGATAATCAGATAATCAGTTGGAAGGGACCTTGTAGGTCATCTAGTCCAACCCCCCGCCCAAGCTAGAGATCCTGCACCATTTCTGACAGATGGCAGTCCAGTCTCTTCTTCAAAGCTTTCAGTGATGAAGCTCCCACAACTTCTGAAGGCAACTTCTGTCCCATGGGTTGATTGTTCTCACGGTCAGAAAATTTCTCCTTATTTCCAGGTTGAATCTCTCCTTGTTCAGTTTCCATCCTTTATTCCATCCTTTATTCCCCCTCAAGTGCCTTGGAAAATAGCTTGACCCCTTCCTACTCCCTGTGGCAGCCCCTCAAATATTGGAAGACTGCTATCATGTCTCCCCTGGTCCTTCTCTTCCCTAGACTATCCATGCCTAGTTCCTGTAACCGTCTTCATGTGTTTTAGTCTCCAGTCCCCTCATAATCCTGGTTGCTCTTCTCTGTACTTTTTCTAGAGCCTCAACATCTTTTTTATAGTGTGGTGGCCAAAGCTGGATACGGTATTCTATGTGTGGCCTTACTAAGGCTTTATAAAGTGGTGTTAGTACCTCACTTGATCTTGATTGTATCCCTCTGTTAATGCAATTTAGGATTGCATTTTTGGCTGCCGTCGCACACTGCTGGTTCATGTTTAGTTGGTTGTCCACTAAGACTCCAAGATCCCTCTCACAGTTACTGCTATTAAGCTTGGTTTCACCCAAGTCTATATGTGTACTTTGGGTTTTTCTTGCCTAAGTATAAGACTTTACTTTCCTCTACGTCGAATTTCATTTAGTTAGATAGGGCCCAGTTGAACCAAGATCATTTGTATGGATTAACTAATAGGTCCATCATCTGGTACCCATGATCCTGATGTGAATGAAATTTGGGGATGTTGTGATTGCTTCAATGCCACCATACCTTCTGACTACATTTCCCAGAATCCCGTAGGTTGCATGACACAGGGGGAAATGAAAGAGCGTGTCCCCTGCCTCTTTCCCACCTCCCACTGGCTTCAGCATCCAATCGGCTGACAGCTAGGCCTGAAGGGTGAATGGCAATTGGCCGCTTTGGAACTGAGGTGAAATTTAAAAACTCTTAATGGCACTGAGCTTCAAATGGAGGACAAGGGTGTGACTCGGATACCTCCTGGGAAGGTTGGGGAGGAGTCAACAGGTGAGGTCTCTTCCTCCCTGGAAGGAGTGAGTCCATGGGGACATGCCGGGATGGGAATGGGGGGTGCGGTTTTCTTTCACATGCTCATTCACGGCTCTCTTTTTTTTCTCTCATTTTTTTTTCTGCCAGCAAAGTGGCAGGGAGTGCCTTAGGTCAAGAGAAAGAATGATTTCCAACATTCCCTGCGAGTTTCCCACAAAGAATTTTTATTTGCAAACCACCCCGAGTTGCTTAGATATCAAGATGGGCAATGTATGAATTTTGATAGGGAAAGAAAGAAAGAAAGAAAGAAAGAAAGAAAGAAAGAAAGATGAGGAAGGGAGAGAGGGAAGGAAGGGAGGGAGGGATGGAGGGAGGAAAAGGAAGGAAGAAAAGAAAGAAAGAAAAAGAAAGAAGGGAGGGAAAGGAAGGAAGGAAGGAAGGAAAGAAGAAAGAAAGAAAGAAAGAAAGAAAGAAAGAAAGAAAGAAAGAAAGAAAGAAAGAAAGAAAGAAAGAAAGAAAGAAAGAGAAAGAAAGGAAGGAAGGAAGGAAGGAAGGAAGGAAGGAAGGAAGGAAGGTGAGGGACGGAGAGAGGGAGGGAGAAAGGGAGGAAAAGAAAAGAAGGAAAGAGAGAAAGTAGGGAGGGAAATGAAGGAAGGAAGGAAAATAAAGGAAAGGAAGGAAAGCAAAGGAAAGCAAAGAAGGAAGGAAGGAAGGAAGGAAGGAAGGAAGGAAGGAAGGAAGGAA